AATCTCGGAAAAATCGAAAATTTTTTTTTGTTGTTTATTATTAGCAATGTTCTTCCGACGTCTGATTTCTTTTTAAAAAATGCGTTTCTAAAGTGCATAAGCTTTTGGGATTGACTGTATAGCCAATACATCCTTAATGCAAATAGAAACGTTATGAGATATTCTAAACAGAGTCGGAACATTTGAACTAAGGCGAGCGGAGTAGATTTGTAAGTAAGTACGTATGCTTTCTATTACGTGAGAGGCTTCGTTTGGTTTCGTCAAGGGTTTCGCTCAGTTGAGCCTGATTACGGCTGATATTCAGGCTGGAACGCTTCACGTGCGATTGTTGACTTGTTTCCTGTTTATATACCTACCATTCGCCTTAAATCTACAAAAGATCACACGCGATTTTCTAACGACGTCCCCTTGAGAAATGGAACGGAACAGAAGCATGTTAATTATATGATATATCGCCGTCATTTTATTATGATCACCGAGAAGATTATTTAATATATTTTCTATAGTTCATAAACTAGGCAGAGTGTTCTCTAACTAATGGCTCGGAATTAATTCCATCGAAAACCAATATTCAGATCAGAGTTCGATTAAATTATATAAACATTCAAAACAATCAATAAACATTTGCAGAAATGAGAAATGTTTAAGTCAATACAGAACATCAAAAGCTGAATGGTTATTCCAATCTTTAAATGATTAAACACATCCTTTAAACTGATACAATAAATGTTCTATTTTGCATAAAGATCCTCAATCTAGTTATTAGTAGGCTGCCAATTATGTATGTAAGAAACGTAAAACCCATACATATAAGGTGAACGTCGCAATTTCTACTCACTGGCTTACTTTTTTATAATTTCATATGCAATCTTAAGTCAGTGAGTAGAAATTGTAACGTGAATAGAAATTGGGACATTTACTATAATAGATAAAAATGCACAAGGAATCAACAGCAGAATGGATAACATGTTTATAGTATTAGAGGACATTGTTACTTAATATCATATTTTGAACTGATTTCCTGCAACTTTTGTTTTGCATAAAAATCCGCTCTCTAATTATTATTAGTCGTTATAGGACACTCTGTACATTCTGCAGTATAGCTCGTATCGTTATAATGATTTATTACTTCGTCTATTAGAGAGTAATGTCGCTATCGTATAATATTGTATAGTGTTTATGTAAATTATGTCTTATTAATAAAGAGATAGATGTTAATTAACAGTCCTTGAGATATTCTTTCATCAATCCTCACTCGGTGTGAATCCTAATCGCGTATTGCTTAACACTACGTTATAAGAATAATTCTCGGACCTTGACAAACAGTACGTATACTTTCTGTTGCTTTTTAAAATAGATTCTGTACGGTACATTTTTAGCGCGATGATATCTCACATTCGTCGGATCGATGTCGATCATAAATGTGTTCTTACACAATAGAAAATGCGATTGATATCGGAAATAAAATGAATGGAGTTCCAAGAATTGTGATTCAGGCATTTGGATACATGGTAGTGTGACGGAGAATCTGATCAGCAATTTAATGATTGGTCTATTACACTTAATTTACTCATACAATATTACCATGCGTCTTTTTATCCCCAAACATTTTTCTCTTTTTTAGACCTCAAATTTCAGCCCGGCCGGATATTTAAAAATATAAAAAATGCCCGTGTTTTTGCTTTCCGCACTTTCATTCAAATCACTATTTTTTTTTTATTACAATATTTAGGACTTTAAGTGTAATATTTAGGACTTTTGATCAATTTGAAAATGTTCGTGATAAAATATAGAAATAATAGTAAAAAGTTTAACAAATTGTTGTCATATAAAAAATAGACAAAATATCTTGAAAGTGTTAGAAATGTTGATTGTCATTCAGAATTCTTAATAATTATTCAATTCTTCGCTATCTCTCCTCACAATGCAAATGTAAAGCGACTTTTGTCATTCATACAGCCAATGGGCAAAGGAGAGAAACAAGTTTTCTATAGAATCTGTGAAGAGTCTACTTGTGCAATACATAACTATACAATGTATAACTTCAGAGACATGTCTTATCAAGATTTTCGTAAGTACTTGAAAAAACATAAAACGTTATTAAAGAGAATTCAATTTTGCAGAGGAGATATAATAGCCCTACTAGGAATAAAGACAAGGATAGAAATAACAACAGCTAAACTTTTGTATGTAGCTGTAGTGGTGGATAAAATTTATTTACTACTTATCCGATACATATTCCTGAAAGTGGGAATATTAAAGCTTTATTTTTGCTATTGATTTTTTTTTGTAACTTTTAAGAATAAGAATTTTTTTACTTTCATTAGAAAACAGTAAGATTTATATTGTTTCCTCTTAAAATGTATAGTTAAAACCTAATAAATAGATAATTTACTTCTAAAAAGAAGTCCTATTTTTGTCCACTTTTGACAAAAGGAAAATATGGTAACCCTATACTCTGTTATTTACATTTGCGCTCGTTTCTTATTAAGTACTTCGCCTTACTATTCTACTACGTCTTTTCCATTGCTTTTTTTCTTAGACTTAATGCCTCTTTTTTCATTACGCAGGGGAAATCTTCAAAGGTATCCGCTCTTCCTGGGGGGAGGACGTAAACTTAACGCTCATTTATCTATTTTGTCTCGCCTTCACTCTAATGCAACAAACTAAATGGATCTAATTATAAGAATTTTAATTCGCATACTTTAATATACGGTAGGACAACGGAGAAGATGGCCAGCAATTTAATTATCGGTCTATAAAAATTAATTAATGAATTCATACAGTATGTAAATATTAAAAATGGTAATTTGTTTCTGCTCTCTCGATCGAGTGTCAAGTGTTATTTAAATCCCTCAATAGATGACGGCACAGGCACTTTTTTTAACGCACTTGATACTATTGGTAAAAGTAGATTTACCTCGTAAATTGTAAATGAGTGTGTAAACGTGAAAATGCGAGGAAAATATAGGACCTCACGAAGGTTTGTTCCGTAGTTCAAATTTTAAACTAAACATCCTTTAAAATTTAGATATGTGAATTAACAAAATATGGTACTCTTTGCATCAAGGTGATTACTTTTGATATTACTAATAAGGACACCGAGATATTAGTAACATTAACACTGGTAATATCTCCTCGATGTTCTTTACAAATTAAAATAGCAAAACGAATATACAAAATCATATAAGACAGACTTGAGACACTGAAGAATAACGATCAGGTAACGATTGAATATCTAATCTGATAAGTATGCCATTGTCGATGGACAAAGAAGCTGTAGAATAGCATTTAATCTGAACGGTTCACGCGACAAAAGAATTATCTGTTACCGGTCTTGCTTTTGCGATCTATCAGGAATGCAATTCTAAAGGGATGCATTCACTACCATCACTACTAACATATATATACCTCGCGCAGCTGTTCAGGATTTTAGGGTGAGTGGGATTAGGGCAATTTCAGGATCGTACGCGTTTCCCTATAGTCCCTACTAATCTTAACGATAATAAAGAACACAAGAAATAGAGAAATAAAGAATACATATAACAATTTTTTCAAATCGATAATA